TAAATTAGAACAAGCAATGTTTGTCTATTGTAAAAAGCTGTTAAAGTAGTTAAGAGCATGACTTACAAACAATGTTGTTACATTGATGATATGCAACTTTAGTTACAAATAGCTTCAAAAATAGCTTAAAAATGTTTAGCTAGATTTTTGGTTTTTTATTTTTATTTTTTTGCTTTTTCTGCTATGTGGTGCTGAGGAATCGAACCCAGGGCCTCATGCATGCAAGGCAAGCACTTTACCACTGAGCCACCTTCCCAGCCCCAGGGATCTTATATATAGATAATGGAAGTACTTTATCATTCAAACTAGGATGCTCTGAACATATTATGAAAGAGGGAGATATTATTCATTAATAGACATTCAGAGACAACAGGCACAAACAGGAACACTGGATCTTGTATTATATATGTGAGCCAACAGCACCCAGCTGAATACTGTTTACTGAATACTGTTACTGTCTTTCTTTTTTGTTGTTGCTGCTAGTCATAGGGCTTGAACTCAGGGCCTGGTTGCTGTCCCAGATCCTCTTTTGCTCAAGGCTGGCGCTCTACCACTTAAGCCACAGCTCCATTTCTGGCTTTTTCTGGGTAGTTTATTGCACGTAAGAGTCTCACAGACTTTCCTGTCCTGGCTGGCTTTGAATCACAATTCTCAGATCTCAGCCTTCTGAGTAGCTAGGATTACAGGTATGAGCCACCAGCACACTGGGCTTGAATACTGTTTCTTAAGCGTAAAGCTCAATGGGCTAGGAATGTGGCTTAGTGGTAGAGTGCTACCTAGCTAGCATGCATGAAGCCATGGGTTTATTTCCTCAGTATTACCCAGAAGTAGCTTTGTGGCTCAAGTGATAGACTGCAAGCCTGGAGCAAAATGAAGCTCAGGGAGGCTGGCGTCAGTGGCTTAAACCTGTAATCCTAGCTACTTGGAACTTGAAGTGGTGCTGTGGCTCAAATGATAGAGCACTAGCCTTGAGCTGAAGAGCACAGGGATAGTGCCCAAGCCCAGAGTTCAAGCCCCATGACCACCACTACCAACAACAACAACAAAAAGCTCAGGGACAGCACCTAGGCCTTGAGTTCAAGCCCCAGGACCAGCACCAAAAAAAAAAAAAAAAAAAGTAAAGTTCAAAAGTCCTGTTACATACTGAGATTTTAAAGAACTATTTAGGGGCTGAGAATGTTGCTTTGTGGTAGACTGC